GTTAATATAACCTAACTTTGTTCCACTGAACTTTTACCAACTGCTCAACAGAGTATTTTAGCATCCAGCTAAGTTCTTCCATTCAATTTACAAATTCAATTTACAAATGATCCCTTTACAGATAAAAAAGTAACCTCTGTATATCTGGTTGCGAATGGAGACATTACTGGACCTTCTTGTCAACTTATGATTGGTGCTCAATTTCAGCTAACACAGATGTGACAGAAGTACATTACACTTTTTCCATTTTTGAGCTCATACCTGCTGCATCAAGGGATAATTTTTAGCCTTACACTGTATCAGACCATATCTACACTGATAGTCAGGAACTACTTATGAAATAATCCTCAAGCCCATACCAGTGAAGCATGCTTGGTCTACCCTGACTCTGGAAGTGTTACTGAACTTCCAGCTCTAAGGCTGACCCTGTACCTGCTCAATTCTTAGGCTGCCTTTTTCTGCAGTGAGCTTGGAAGATTCCTACAATTCCATTCCTATCATCCAGCCCTCCTAGATTTCCTGTCTTTACTGCCTGGAAAAAAAATAATGAGCAAAGCTGATTCCAAGAAGCACTCTGCATCTTATGGCAGAAGGGACAAGAAGTCAAATATCATTTATTCTTTTCCTCTGGGCTGCAAGATAGACTCTGTCCTGTATTAAACAACATTTTTTAAAATGTTCAGTGTTTCTGATCATGTACTAGAACTATTGTCCTCTGACTCATTCTTTTTTGTGTTTTTTAAATATAACCACCACTGTTTCTTTCTTGGTCAATGCCTGACTATGATCATTCCTGTCAAAATAAAATGAAAGGATGCCTTTTTGTACTGTCACAAGCTCCAGTTTTCTGTTTCATAAGGCATCCTTCTTTATTTACATTTTATTAACTGACTTCCCAGGAGAGGGTCTTAAACTATTTTGGATGCATAGATTGTTTTACATATGCTACAAAAAAGCAAAAAATGCACTTTGGTTATTTTCATGAGATACAGAAGAGTTAGTTCTAAAATAGGTTGCATTCTGGTAACAAACCCATACTGTTGATTTGTTACACAATATACCCTGCTATATTCATTAGAACAAAGAATTTTATATGGCCAGGGTTTCAAAGTGTATTTTGCAGTATGGTGGTTTACCGTCAGGAGAGCATCAATAAATGTAAATCCTCTTGAAACAACTAGTTAAGTGAGGTAGATAAATCATTCATTCTGAAGTTGAAGAGAACAGATTGAGCATTTATGGTGCATGGAAAAGTAGTCTTTGGTAAGAAAATAATAGTAATGTTTAGTGAGAATATTAATTAAATAAAAGCTCAAAATGTGTTTTGAGCTTTTCCACTCTAAAGACACCCTAAGGACTTTGTTAGAGCCTAATTACCCATTGCACTTTGAGTAGCTGTAATGTTCATCAGTGTTACTGCTAGCTCTAATTTGGAGTGATTACAGCTGTGACTTGCCACTAGGATCTGGTACAGAAGTTCCGTTCACCTGTCTAACCTAATTGATTACGTTTGAGAGCACATTGATCCAAGTCTATCTGAGATTAGGTTCCTTTATTTTTAGACCAGTCTATGTGCACTGAACTTCTGTATGGGTATGGGTTTAGATCAATTTTCAATCACTTAGACCAGTTTATGTGTAATGTCTGTATCTGGCTTAGAGGGATGACAAGCAGGGGCCTGACCAGGAGCTACAGCTGAGACCTGCCACTACAAAGCTGGTGATCCAGGATAGGCTTCTGTCCCTGCTATATGTGTGGGTGGTATGAGACATGGGGTGGGGGAGAGGGGAACATGAAGCTGGAAGGCAGAGGTTTAATGGGATGGGGGTAGGTAATAAAATGAGAGGTAGAAAGGAAACGAGGATGAGGGAAAAGTGGTGAAATGAAGTCAGCCAATCTCATGTTAAATTAAAATGGTCTCATGTTTTTATAATTTGGGACTCGGGTATGGGGGTGTTGGTTATGCTTCCTGGGATGTGGGAACAGTGAAGGAAGGCACCTTTGGGGTAGCTATTGTCCCTGCCTCAGGAAGGAAGCCCCAGCTCATGGGGACCTGATCTGGCCCCTTACCTTGTTCCCCCAACCCCTGGACTCCTCTGTGCCCTCCAACCTGGTTGGCCAGAATATACTCTGCAGGCTGTTTTCAAGGGGTTGCACACCTGGAGGTCAGAAGGTCACACCACTAGGGGCAGAAGGGGGAGTTGATTTGGTGCCAAAATTGCCCCAGGGCAGTAGAGTTCAGGAAGTAGAAAGTTCATCCACACAGAACAGGAGGCTGGGGGGGGGTGGAGGGGACGGACACTGCATCCTGGGGTACTGGAGGATTGTAACTTGAGTGGCTCATCTGCGGTGACTGACCACACATTAATGGAACACAAGCTGGGTAACATGGTTCAGAGATAAACCTGCCCTGGAGTGGCATAACTTTAGGGCACTTAAACTGTGCTTAAAACTAGTTTCAGGTGTTAATGTTTGGACCATCCAGGTGTTAAGCACTCCAGGAGCCAACTAAAATTAATGTGTAACAAGACAAGCCAGGTAGCAGGGCATGGACAGGTCCAGGTAGGGGACGGGATCGGGTCCCCATGAACTGGGGCTTCCTTCCTGGGGCAGGGGCCACAGATCCCCAAAAGGTCCTTCCCTCACTACTCCCACCTTCCAGCCACCCTGGGAAGTACAGTCAGCACCCCCTATACTCCAATTCCAAATCCCAATTTATTAAAACATGAGACCTTTTTAAGTTTACTTCCTCTTTATGTTTCATAGTTGGTAGGGTCAGAAGGGACCTGAGCAGATAATCAAGTCCAGCTCCCTGCCATGGGCAAGAAAGAATGCTGGGGTCAAATGACCCTGAATAGGAGTCTATCTAGCCTCCTTTTGAAGACCCCCAGGGTAGGAGCAAGCACCACTTCCCTTGGAAGTTGGTTCCAGATCCTAGCCACCCTGACAGTGAAGTAGTGCCTCCTGATATCTAGCCTGAATCTAACTTCCATCAACTTATGGCCGTTATTTCTTGTTACTTCTAGTAGTGCTCGGGGGAACAAGGACTCTCCGTTTGCCTGCTTGTCCCCCTTGGCAAGTTTATAGACAACCACCAGATCCCCTCTCAGCCTTCTCTTGTGAAGGCTGAACAGGTTCAGGTCCCATAGCCTCTCCTCATAAGGCCTGCCTTGCTGCCCCCTGATCACGTAAGTGGCCCTCCTCTGGACCCTCTCCATGCTGTCCACACCCCTCCTAAAGTGCAGCGCCCAGAACTCCAACTGCGGCTTGACCAGTGTCTCGTAGAGGGGGTGGATCACCTCCTTGGACCTGCTTGTGATGCATCTATGGATGCATGACAAGGTGCGGTTAGCTTTCCTGACTGCATCCCCACACTGGCAGCCCATGTTCATCTTGGAGTCAATAATGACTCCAAGATCCTTTTCTGCCTCTGTGCAGATGAGAAGGGAGTTTCCCAGCCTGTAGATATGCTGCTGCTGTCTTTTTAAGTATTATTTTTTATTTCTGTTTATTGTATCCTTCAGTGGCTGACATCTTTCATTTCACTACCCTTCCCCCACCCCCATTTCTTTTCCACCTCCCATTTCATTACCCACCCCCATCCCATTAACTCTCTGGCTCCCAGCTTCATATTCCTGTCTCACAACCCAATTCTCCCTACATCCCTACCTAGAACAGGGATAGAAGCCTGTCCTGGCTAACCAGCTGTGTAATGGCAATTCACAGCTACAGCTCCTCACCCTGCCCCTGCTCACCAGCCCTTTAGTGGGCAAGTCACAGCTGTGTAGAATGGGGACAGTCAGAGAAGGTTTTTAGCCTTAAGGTGCAACTGCTGCAAACTTGAGCTAACACTAACACCAATCAAAGTGCAATATGTAACAAGGCCCTAAGTAAACCAACTGAAATACTGCTTCTTCTGCAGGGATCAGTGTTGTCATAATAACTTAAACCAGGGGTGCTCAACCAGTGTTGTCATAATAACCGAAACCAAATTGGGCCTGAAGAGCCTTGGATTGTAACCTGCAGGGCTCCCCATGGGTCTGGAAATTTGGCAGTAGGGGAGTAGTGGCAGTTAATACTGCCACCCCTCCCCACTGCCAAAGTCCCAAGTTCTGAGCAGTTGGTAAGAGCCAGGCCATTACCCTGCCCCCGCATGACCAGTTTGGGGCTGGGCTACACCCCCTTTCCTCTGGGTGGCTAAGTTGGGGCTGGACTGTGCCCCTCTCTCCCTCCTAGGCCACACCACACCACCTTCCCCCAATCCCCCATTGTGGGGCCATGCTCCATTCCCCCCAACTGGCCAGGCTGGAGCTGAGCCATGGTCTCTTCCTCCTGCAGGGTTGGGCCATGCCTTCTTCCCCTATATAACCAGATTGGACCAGGCTCCCCTGTAACCCCACTCTGCACAGCTGGATATTGCCCTGCAATACCCACCTTGGGTGCCAGATAGAGTCTACCAGGTGGATCTGGCCTGTGGAGGGACTGGGTGCTGCCCATCTGGCCAAGTGTCCAAAAAAGGTTGAACAGCACTGACCACCATGTTTTATCTCAAGAGTCGGGACAATAAATTATCTACAGAGCATTCACAGAAAAAGGAATCTACTCAGTACTATTTTCATGTTAGGAGATTGCAGCTTACCCAGGATAGTGATATATAGCTACATCTCACTAGCGTGTCAATGATATTGGGGAATATATCAGATTTCCTACTTGGCACTCTAATTTGATTGCAACAATCAGAATTCTTATATCTGTCAAAGCAATATGAGAATCAGTAAGATCCTGCAATTTGATCATAATCAAGAGTTTAATTGCCTGTTATGAAAATATACTTCCTTCATACAGAACAATGGAAAAAAGTAGACACAGAGGTAGTTCAGTGTGCCTTAAATACTCCAATTCTATTTTGCAATAGTGCAGGAAGAGGCAATTTATCTTTAAATTCACTAAAAATTACACAGCAGAAATTCTTATGCTGCTGGTATCAGTGTGGCTATTACCTGAAGTTGTTCTTCTAGTGCAGCAGTAGCTTTGTCTCCGCTGCTTTCATCCACCACAACTACCATATGAGTAAGAGAATTCACCTTGACTTGTTCCTGTTCCAAGTCCTCCTGAAGTGCCTAGAGGTAAAAGAAAATAAAAAACCTATCAGTGCTGATGTTGAAACAAAGTGTAGACAGAATGCTGCCACAGTGTGGAGTATTGTTGACTAACAATCGTAGTATGTGAAACTTAAGAAACCCTGAAACTTGACTATAGTTGTCTTTGTTCCATTTCTTTTCTACTTATAAATGAAAGGCAGCTTATATTAAGTACATTAAAGCTACACACCAAAATTCAGAATGAGAGTTTAAACTGAGAAATTGATATTTTACTTGATATTTTATGGGTAACAATCTCTTGCTCATTTTAAAGTTATCATTAATGAATTAATTAACACATTATGTATTATGCACACTATTGTATATTATGCATGTTATTAATACCATTTATCTTTTATGTTATTACATTAAAAATTATGGTGAAGGAATATTATTAAGGATACAAAAAATAGGAAACACTACAAGCCTGTGTAAGCTTATTTCCCTACTTTATACATATGCACATGATGCATGTCCTTAAGAGTGCTACACATAGTATTTTTTCAATAGCAATTCTGTCCCCTTCTTTTAACAGAATGGTTGTTGCTTTCTTAATAAGAAAATAAGTCAATATTTTACTTTTTCCTCACTGTTGAGTATGTGGTGCCATGCCATATAATTACAGTTCACACAAACAACATCCACATCTCTCCACAAACTTGAATTAATCCCAGAGCTTATCCATCCTGTTCACTGAATGAGGCAAGGGTTATTTGGAAAAAAAATAGGCTGTGACCATTTACATCAAGATGTTAATAATACACATGCACAAAGCATGGGGATAATTTAAGATTGCATAAGCAGCCTTAAATGAAGCATTTCCTTATGATGAAGTGATTAATTTATAGTTTTCTTTTAAAGAAGATTTTTTGTCTATTTTTGTGTGCATGCCTGCAGTTTCTATGATTTTTTAAAAGCAAACTAAAAAAGCAGGAAGTCCATCATCTGATGCCCACTTCAGGATTTGAATAATGGATCCTCCAAACACAGTTCTGCAACTTGAATTAATGAAGTAATTGATAGTAGACCTTTGTTGCTATCCTTATTTTTACCAGCATAACAAAGGAATCAGACAGCTAGCCAATGAGCATGGTAAGGCTCAGGAATCTTCAATTTCAGGCTATGGAGAGACAAGACTACTTTGGGCTAAGACTTACATTAGGAAAAAGTTGTACCTATTCCCCCCCAAAGCTGACTCTTTCTAACTTATTTGCTTAAACCTATGATTGAGTAGAGTTTAATATAGTAAAATTAGTATATGAAGCCATTTGGGCAGTCTTAGTCCTGTATGGTCCCCATCCTGAGCTTCTTAGCTTATCTCCAGTGCCTTCAACTATTGAGTTCCCATCTGTAACCCTTAGACTTTTTGCTGCAATTCCAGCAAGTCTTAGTCTCTTCATAAAGACACCATAATTCCCTTTGCCCAATTGCACCCTTCTTGCCAAACTTGTCTCACTCCCATCTAATTACCTAGCACTTGCCAGGGATGCCTCCAGCACCCCTTAGCTTCTATACTACGTCTGATTTGGTTTCCTAAAACTGGCCTTAGTCCCTCCCCGCCATGTCTCTGCTGTTCCAAATACTTTGCATCTTAGAAGGCTGCCTTCAGAAACCAAAATGAGGCCTTGGGTGCCTGCTCCTCCAAGATGATCACCAGGCTACCAGTCTTCCATGGTCTTTTGTCCTTGTCTGTGTGGGGTCCAGGGCTTCTAGTTCAGCCCTATGGGTTTCATGCCTCTTGGGGTCTCCTAGATCTTAGGCCCTTTCACCCAGTCATTTGGGGGTTTCAGGCCCTCAGTCTTTGCCTTCCTGGGCTATGGGTCCTCTCTCACAGATCTTCAGGCCCTCTCACACTCTTTGGTCTCCTGTGCTTTGGGCTCTCCTACACAGCTCTTTGGGCTTCAGGCCCTCTTTCTCTTTTGCTGTCCTCGGCTCTGGGCCTGCCTGTATAGTTTTTTGGCTTTAGGCTCTCTCACACCGTCATTTTGAGATGTAGGCCCTTACTCCAAAACCTTTGAGCTGCAGGTCCTGAGCACCAGTTTGCAGTCCTGCACCTGTCTCTACCTCCCACACTGTGGCAACAGTTCACCAGGTGCTCCCCACCACCTTGAGCTGCTCCTGGTTTTGCTCTTGTTCTGGTCTAACACAACAGTATAAGATAAACATGTAACATAAATGACAACCTTGATACATGACATTGTTGAGCTTTCTTTGTCCCCTCCCAGAGCTAAACTACGACCTCACAAGGGTCTTGGCACTCTAACGGCTACAGCCACATCCACCTTCAGTCACAGGACCAGCCACTTCCCCCTCAGGCCTATCAGTCATGTGTGGTCCTGAAGCCACCATTTCAAATGATGAGTGAGCTTTCCGCATTTGGGGTAGGCAGCTCCTATTTTCAAAACCTCTCAATTCCCAGCAGTTCTTACAAAGTCCTGGGGCCAGCCTGTTGCTCCCTGGTCCTCTCCCTCTCAGTAATGGGGTAGGATCCCCATTGCATCTTCCTTCATTATATGCTACAAAGAAGGGCTGCTGAGAACATAGTACCCACACCTGTCCCCACATGAGGTATGGTCCCTCAAGGACAAAAGTTAGTTAGTACCAGTTACAGTACCTTCCAGGGTTCCCTAACCTACACTAAAGCAAAGAAGTAAGAAACTGTAGTCTTACAAGGCCTTAAATGCCTGCAGTCTTGCAAGGCCTTAAATGCCTGTACACCAATGCTCATAGCATGGGGAACAAACAGGAGGAAATCGCCCTCAGAATAGCTAGTTCAAATCCAGATGTCGTAGGGTTAACAGAGACGTGGTGGGACTCGTCCCATGACTGGGCAGTTAACATTAGGGGCTATAGGCTGTACAGGCGGGATAGAGAAGGCAGAAAAGGGGTGGGGGGTGGCACTCTATGTCAAGGAGCACTACACATCCTCTGCCAGCAGAATGGGGTCAGGGGAAGGGCAAGCTGAAGTGCTCTGGGTCAAAATCCAGTGGGGGCAAGGCGAGAGGGATTTGACGGTGGGGGTCTATTACAGACCCCCCAATCAAGAGGAGGAGCTGGACAGGGAATTTTCAGGCCAGCTTGCAGAGACACTAAAAGCAAGGGATGTAGTTGTCATGGGCAATTTTAATCTGCTGGGAGGAGCAGTCAGCTGGGACGGACCGCTCCAGGAGGTTCTTGGCCGAGTTGCAGGACCTCCACTTGATTCAGGAGGTGCACAGTCCCACCAGAGGAGATGCCCTGCTGGACCTGGTCCTGGCCGCAGGCGACGACCTGGTAAGAGGCCTCCAGGTTCTTGACCACCTGGGCAATAGTGATCACCGCGTGCTGGAATTCACCATCCAGCGTAGAGTGTCAAGGGCCCGCAGCAAGGTGGTGGCCCTAGACTTCAGGAGGGCCAACTTCAGTGAGATGAGGAGATTAGTGGGAGAGGAACTGGGGTCCTTGAGGGCAGAGGAACTCAGCATCCAAGAGGAGTGGTACACCGTCTCTCACCCCATCCTAATTAATAAACTAGGCGACTGTGGCATAGATGCCTACACGGTCAGATGGATTGCAGATTGGCTGAAGGGTCGCACTCAGAGGGTGGTGGTGGATGGATCATACTCGACTTGGGGGGAGGTGGGTAGTGGAGTCCCCCAGGGCTCGGTCCTGGGGCCTGCGCTGTTCAATTTCTTCATCAGCGATCTTGATGTTGGGGTGGAAAGCAACCTGTTTAAATTCGCTGATGACACCAAAATTTGGGGGGAGGTGAGCACGCTAGCAGGGAGAGAGAGATTGCAGAAGGATCTGGATAGGTTACAGGGGTGGGCAAACAGGAACAGGATGTGTTTCAATACGGACAGGTGCAGGGTGCTGCACTTGGGTAGTAGGAACCAGCAGCACACTTATACGATGGGGAGCTCCCTACTTGAGAGCACGGAGGTGGAAAGGGATCTTGGTGTCATTATTGACTCCAAGATGAACATGGGCCGACAATGCGAGGTCATGGTTGGCAGGGCTAACCGGACCTTGTCGTGCATCCACAGGTGCATCTCGAGTAGAGCCAGGGAGGTGATCCTCCCCCTCTATGCGACGCTGTCAGGCCGCAGCTGGAGTATTGTGTCCAGTTCTGTGCGCCCCATTTCAGGAGGGATGTGGACAACATGGAGAGGGTCCAGAGGAGGGCCACCCACATGATCCGGGGACAACAAGGCAGACCCTACAGTGAGAGACTGTGGGACCTGAACCTATTCAGCCTCCACAAGAGAAGGCTGAGGGGGGACCTGGTGACCGTCTATAAACTCACTAGGGGGAACCAGAAGGGTTTGGGGGTCTATAAACTCACTAGGGGGAACTAGAAGGGTTTGGGGGAGACGCTGTTTCCCCTAGCCCCCGCTGGCATAACAAGGAGTAATGGGCACAAGTTGATGGAGAGGAGGTACAGATTGGACATCCGAAAAAACTACTTCACAGTTAGGGCGGCTAGGAGCTGGAACCAACTTCCAAGGGAGGTGGTGCTGGCCCCTACCCTGGGGATCTTTAAGAAGAGGCTGGATACTTACCTGGCTGGACTCATTTGAGTCCCGTTTTTGTTTTTAGGGTTTTTTGTTGTTCTCCCGCCCTGGCGGGGGGTCGGGCTAGAAGATCTATTAGGTCCCTTCCGACCCTAAAACTATGAAACTATGAAACTATGAAACTGTAACTGGTGGCCGATTCTCAGTATCCACCCTTCTGGACAGCTTTGTGATTCATAAACATGCTTTTGTAGGCTGCTGTTTACAGTGTGGTGGGCTGGTGCTGTACAGACATTCTGTTTCTCCTGGGAGAGATGCTGCTTTTCTAGGAAAAATCATGAGTGTCCAGAGTGTTCAGGTTTTTTGTTCCAGGGTAAAAATAGTCACTTCAGGAGAAGAATAACCTGGGAATAACCAAAGTTAAAGAGAGAGCAAGGGTCTGTACATGCTGTGGCTTCTCTCAGAAAATAACCCTCCAGCCAATTT